GAAAAAAAACGTTTTTCTTTACGTTGCTTTTCATTATTAATTTCACGTTTCTAAAATCTCAGCAAGCTGCTCACTTTCGCCTCTTTGTCTTTATTATTTTGGTTCCTTCAATAGCTGCCCCGAGGCATGCACGATCTGAACACATTCCTGCGGAGGGAGCTGGTAGGAACGTTGGGTTGCTCGGTCAATGGCCAGGGTCAACGGCGGCGTGGTGTATTCCGCAAATATGCCCGACTGTGAGGGCGGGCACAAGCCGGCGTGAGTAGGTTAAACGTTGAGTTTTATAAGGGCACCACGGGGTGACCAGCCCCTCCCCACCCAGCCCCAACCCTCCCACCCCCCACCCAGCCCCACCCTCCCCACCCAGCCCCTCCCCACCCTCCCCACCCAGCCCCTCCCTCCCCACCCAGCCCCTCCCTCCCCACCCAGCCCCTCCCTGCACGACGGACACAATAATCCCCTGTGGGCTGGTGTAACCAGGAGGTTCCTAGCAGTACAATCCACTCACAGACAATCAAGCCCTCACATTGTCAGCGCATGAGGGGTCTGGGGGGCCCTAGTGGTCAGCTTGCACTGTGCGCACTGACAGCCCTGGCGTTCAACTTCCTCCGGAAGTATTGGGCCACGCACCGCGCACGGCCTGAGGCTTGGAGGCCCCCTGGCAGTTCGAGGCCCTGGAGCACTGGCCCCACTGGCCCCACTGGCCCCACTGGCCCCACTGGCCCCACTTGCCCCACTGGCCCCACTGGCCCCACTGGCCCCACTGGCCCCACTTGCCCCACTGGCCCCACTGGCCCCACTGGCCCCACTGGCCCCACTGGCCCCACTGGCCCCACTGGCCCCACTGGCCCCACTGGCCCCACTGGCCCCACTTGCCCCACTGGCCCCACTGGCCCCACTGGCCCCACTGGCCCCACTTGCCCCACTTGCCCCACTGGCCCCACTGGCCCCACTGGCCCCACTTGCCCCACTGGCCCCACTGGCCCCACTGGCCCCACTGGCCCCACTGGCCCCACTGGCCCCACTGGCCCCACTGGCCCCACTTGCCCCACTTGCCCCACTGGCCCCACTGGCCCCACTGGCCCCACTTGCCCCACTGGCCCCACTGGCCCCACTTGCCCCACTTGCCCCACTGGCCCCACTTGCCCCACTGGCCCCACTGGCCCCACTGGCCCCACTTGCCCCACTTGCCCCACTGGCCCCACTTGCCCCACTTGCCCCACTGGCCCCACTGGCCCCACTGGCCCCACTTGCCCCACTGGCCCCACTGGCCCCACTTGCCCCACTTGCCCCACTGGCCCCACTTGCCCCACTGGCCCCACTGGCCCCACTGGCCCCACTGGCCCCACTGGCCCCACTTGCCCGGTCCAAACTCCAGCCTTGTTTCGACCATACTTATTCTTTGGGTCTTTCGGTAAAGTCACGTAGATAGGTATTTTTTTTTTTTACAAAAAAACTACGACGTTTCGATCGCAACACGAGCGGTCGTCATCAGGTGGAGAAAAAAAGAGGGGTTAGTCTTTAAAGGCAAACTGTTTATAAAGGTTTAAAATGGGCGTTGCCCAAGTGTCAGAACGGAGTGGGCGGGGCATAAGAGCCCTGGGGGAGCGTGATTGGAGGAGGTTATGTTAATGTGAGGGATTAAAAATGGCGGGCCTCGGCATATTGAATCAGAATCAGAAAAGGTTGTATTCGCCATGAAAGTTTGCACAAACAAGGAATTTACTATGACAGGAAGGTGCATACATTCAACATGTAGGAATCTTAAAAACGTAAATAAGTGGTATACAGTCTAACTATACTAAAATTACAAAGTCTAACTAATACTCAGCGGAGAAGGCTAGGTTAATGTGAAGGATTAAAAAAACTGGTGAGCAACGGACAGTGCTAAAATGGGAACATTACAGCCAGTTATGACTTAAACTGGTTGATAACGTCCTTCCAGTGATTGCTAAGTTTGTACCCATCCTCTCGGTTGAAATTGTGTCTATGTCTGTATATATGGATGGCTTCATGAATAAATATTTGTTGATAGCCAGTGGGATTGCAAAGTTACTTTGTCTTAGAGAAATCAATTTTGTGTGAGCCAACCACATTAAAAAATGATCAGATCACGAAATTTTAATGTAATGTGTTAAATCAAACCTGGACCTTGTGTTTGCTTATGATTTTAGAAATATGTTTTGTGACCCCTCCTATAAGGTGATGGTTTTGATTGGGTCCTCAGCTGGTTCAATGCACTATTGCAAGTGAGTTGGTCTATTGTTACCAAGTTTTTTTTAATGTATTTAATTTAATTGATCATTGCATTTACCTTGGTGGGAAAAGACACAATTCGACGGATGGTAAATTCACCTGAAATATAAGAATGGGTAAAGATGAAAAAAACAGTTTTGCAGCATTACATCCTAATGGCCTGGAACAGCTTGAACGCTACGGCTGTAAAATTAGGCAGCGTACGTAGCGGCGATCCAAAGAGAACATTGCTGATGCTATCCTTCCTCTTTCCCCACCACTCACGACGCTAAGAGTGCGTGGCGTGGCTGTCCATGCCAGCATGGCACAAATTCATCGGAAAAGATTGGCCATGCTCCGCTAAGCCTTTCAGATCGATTTCTACCGGTTGTCGGTGAGTTTCTGCCACGTTCTTCACAATGTGAGCTTGATTTATTTTGGTTAGTGACTCTGCTTTTTTTTTTTTGGCTGCGAAATGTGCACGACCTAGATCGGCGTGTGCAGTTTCAAGGTTCTGGAACATTAAATCGTGAGTTTGATATACTGTCCTGCGAAGAACTGCAATGCGCCGTGTTTGTTTGGTTCTGGCCACAGGCGAGAACACGGCAGAGCAAACGACATAAAGTATGCATTTATGTATGTCGAACTATGTTCACAGCGTATGCAGCCAACCGTGCTGAATCGGAGCTGCAAAAAGGTTGCATTTATTTTATGAAATCTTGTAGGTAGCTGTAGCAGCGATGTGTCGGCAAGCTTCGTCTTATTTTGTAAACCTGGGTATATTCTACGTACAAGCCAAATAGAGAAACAGAATCAGCTGAAAGTGTAGAGAGACATGAAACTTAAAAAAATGACCTCATCATCATCAGCCATGATATATTCACAGTCGGATGAATGCCTGATCACACCAACGACATCCATCAATCCTGCGATGCCACAATCCATCTCACTCCTTCGACTGAGCTCTTCTCACCTCCACATTGCCACGGTGATCATCCTCTTGGGCACATTTTCTCATTTGGCCGCCACTTTTTCCGCCAGCAGCTTCCCACGAAAAAAAGTCTCGCAGAGATAAGATATTGCCACTCGAAATGTACGCAAAATGATACTGTTGCATCTAAACCGGAACCAAAGAGTGACCAACGTAGAAGTGAGACAAACGTTGCACGTCGTCAGAGAGTTGATGCAGGCAGTCACGAGAAAGAATCCCGCACTGTTTGTACAAGTATGTAGGATGGACAAGAACAGGAAATGAAAAAAGTGTGCTGTTGTTTTTTCGATTTAAAGCTTTCGTGACTGCAGGCATTCATCTTCTTGGTTCTTTCGGTAAAGTCACGTAGAAGGGAAATAATAAAATAATAACATTTTTACATAATAAAATACAATTCTCACGGCTGCTTGCGTTGTGGCCGAAACGTCGTGAGAATTGTATTTTATTACGTTTATTTTTATTATTTTATTATTTCCCTTCTACGTGACTTTACCGAAAGAACCAAGAAGATGTGCTGTTGTTCGGAAAAAATAAACCCGTAATCACAAAGTTTTTCACTATAAATCCTTTATATGCGTGGCGGCTAGAGTCCTCTCATCCTCTTGCTTGAGATGGCTGCCACCTATGGGTCAGATGATTGTCTGCCAGCATTAAGCAATTGGTAATTAAATATTTTTTTTCCCTAAACAGTGTAAAATTTTGGAATTTTTTTCAGGAAAATGCATTGTCACGCACAACGAGTCTGTGTGCAAAATGTCAGCTCGATTGGATCACGGGAAGTGGGTTAAAAAACGACCGAAAATTTGCACGGTCGTAAGCAAGCAAGCGAACTTAATATAAAGGATTTAAAAATGAGTTTCATATATTCACCATGACTCTGAAAATCTGACCCATAGGTGGCAGCCATCTCAAGCCAGAGGACGAGAGGACTCGAGCCGCCTCGCATATAAAGGATTTATAGTGAAAAACTTAGTTTTTACTGGTTATACTTATTTTCCTGTCGAGGAGTGTGTGTGTGTGTGTGCGCCCTGCGACAGTAACATGGTGCTTCGTCCACTGTATTACGCCGCCAGGAACACGACCTCCTGTAGAATGTGTGGGTGACTCAGGTGTTCACACTGGCTTCGATGCTTCACTTCGGCCTCAATGTGCACATGGCCTGGCACAGGTGCCGCGGTGATGCTCCTACTGTTGTGGAGCGACTCATGCAGCCAGCTATGGCTGCAGAGTTTGGTGGTACATGTTGTTTACGTCGTTTATTGTGAAAATTTGGTCACAGTTCCTATGACCTGCACTGTTTCATTGCTTTCATGGCTTTATTTTGGTGATTTTCGAAACGTTTTTTGGTTTGGCCATGTTTGTTTGTTGTAGTACAGAGTTAGACTGATGGCCTTAATCTAAGTTGTCTTGTGGTTGTTGTTGTTGTTTGACTTGCATCCCACTGGGATATTTGCACAGGGTTGGTGTACGGTGATTTTTCTGCAATATTTTGCTGTCTTTTCTTGGATTTTCTGTTTGTACATATTCACTTTAAGATGTTTTCTTGTACATGTTTTTTTTGTTGCGGTTGCACCCGATTCAAGAGCCGAATGGCTCACAGGGCTATACCTAATAAATGAACTTTGAACTTTTAACATCATCACCACCATTTAGTTTGCGAATGCCGGCTGCTGGTGTTGTTGTTGTTGATCTCCACTTAACAATCGCTTGCCCTTAGTCGATCCGATGTACAACGGAGAACGCTCGCTTTTCCCTTTTGCTCTCGTGTATCCAGCGATGCTCTACGTGATGGGAGCCCTGGGCCCTGCAGTCGGATACCTGCTGGGGGGCATCCTCATCGGCCTGTACGTCGACCCCTGGCTGGAGGCCCCTGGAGACCAGGGCGACCCGCGCTTTGTCGGGAACTGGTGAGTGAGAGGACCACCGTCAGAGAACGTGTAGTTCCCTCGAAGCATCCACGCGTCAACGCAGAACCGGCCCTAGACCTTTGGGGTCCCTAAGCAAAATTTGGTTGGAGGCCCCTTTGATGTATGATTTTTTTCACCCACTAGCTAGCAGTGACTCTAGGGGGCCACTAAGCGACCCTTGCAATTGCAAGGGTCGCTTAGTGGCTGGGCCGGCTCTGCGTCAACGTCACGTCAGCTGCAGACAGGGGGTAGGACACGTCACACCCCTTCGCCAACTTTTGGCGAGCCGTCGAACGGAGGCGGCTGTCGCCGCGTCGCGCGGCGCTTTCGGACGCGCTTCTGCGGCCGTCTGGAACGCTCTCTTCCTTTCCGATATTAGGAAGCCACTGGAACTGTGCACTTTTATATCATCATCTGGATTGACAAACTCATTTTTTTTAGAACGTACGGTGCGAAAGAAGTTCACCATCATGCATGCATTAAGGCCTTTTCTAATTTTTTTCTGACGTGTGACCTCTCCCTACTTATCAATATTGTGCACGGCGTTTTGGATTTATGTTGAACTTCTTTCATACCGTACGTCGCCAACCGTGATAATCGGAGGTGCTGTGTTTAGTTTGTTGTGCGTTCCCCGCACCTCTGATCATCATGGTTGGTTTAATATATGTGCGAAAGTAGATCAACATACAGACACCACCACCTGCTATGGGATTTGCACGGTTTTCGACTTTTATCTTTGACCAAACGCAGTTGTTCTATGAGGCATTATAGTTTCATGGACTACTGATCTGTCCACAGCAATAACCTACTGTTCAGCTACGCTAGGCGTAATTGGCTCATATATACTACAAACATACTCCAATGTACAGCACAACCTTCCACGGTGCAGAACGGTAATTTGCTGAAAGCATAACGTCATCTCTCACAGTAATGTATGAGTTATGGGGTAGATTTGTGGTGCAGTAATTAGCGCACTGGGCCATGGACTCCGTTGTGTTCGGTCCACACCCACAGCTCATGTCAGTGGTATGATCACATCTGGTTCATGGGTCCTTTACCAGAAATGGTGAAGTATGGTTAAACTGTCCTCGTTACTGACAGCTTGGGGAGGCCATCATGCTGCAGCCGGTTGATAATTATTTTAGTAGAATTCTATTATTACACGCGTTATTGGAACATTAATATTAAAAATGGCACTTTTACAACGATACTTTCCTCTATGACGGTATGTCCCAGTTTGGCTCGTTTAAAAAAACAAATATTTTGTACCAAAAAACCCCCGATGGAATTCTATGAATGATGCAGAGTGCAGCTTGGTGGATGGAATTCCCCAATGGAGCGTTTGCCGCTCACTTAATTGTACAAGTTAATCTCCAAAGTTTTGCAAGGTCAGCAGGGTTTTGTTGGCGTGTAAATCTCCAATGTTGTCAAGTAAGGAGTAATCATGCTCGAAGCTGAAGTCAGCAATCTTTGCAATTGCTGATCTCATTCAAGTGGGGGGAGGGGGAGGGGTGGGGGGAACGGTTTGAATGAACGTACAACGGCATGGATAGGTACACTCCGTTCTCCGGAAACTGGGAACCTTTGTAACAAATGTGCACTTCATTACGAGACGCATGGAGGGGGAGTAAGGCACTTGTTATGAATGACACAGTCTGGAAATTCATTTTGTCCGTGGTGCATGTAGACTACAGTTTTAATGCGTTGATCCAAGATTCATAATTTATGTTGCTACACGCAGGACTTCGAGCACTGGGCCTCCGTACCCGTCTGGTTTGATTTCCTGCTATAGCTGCTGATGGTCGGTGGAATTGGTACGTGCACTGTGTTATGAACTGGCGATCTTCTTCTTGATTCTTTTGGTAAAGTCACGTAGAATGGAAATAATAAAATAATAAAAATAAAACATAATAAAATAATTCTCACGACGTTTCGGCCACAACGCAAGCAGCATATCCTAAAAATACAGCACCATATTTTAACACTAAAGCAGTCACTGACTCGCAACAACTTGCAATCATAAGTGACGGAGTTAATTTCGGGTAAAATCAATGAAAATGGGGTATGCCGATAGCATAAAAATGAGATGTGATGGAGCAAATCTGAGATCAGATTTGGAATCAGCACCCTGAATTTTGTCTAAAACAGGTGCAAAAGTCCAGGCCAGAAAAAAATGTTTTTTTGTTGTTGACCAGTGTAAGCTTTCGATTTAAAGCTTTCGTGACTGCAGGGATTCATCTTCTTGGTTCTTTCGGTAAAGTCACGTAGAATGGAAGTAATAAAATAATAAAAATAAAACATAATAAAATAATTCTCACAGTGAGAATTCTCACTGTGAGAATTATTTTATTATGAGAATTCTCACTGTGAGAATTATTTTATTATGTTTTATTTTTATTATTTTTATTACTTCCCTTCTACGTGACTTTACCGAAAGAACCAAGAAGACCAGTGTCATCCTCAAGGAAACCCCACGTTGTGTTTCATCGTCATCCCAACGTGTCATAACAGCAGAGGGCACTCTCAGCCCGGCTGCATTGCGTAACGCCATCGAAATTCATGATCCATTGAGAACGCACTGCAAGCTCTCAGGAGCTAAGGTCACATTGAAATGTTTTTGCCTTGATTGCGATAGACAAAAATAACTGCGCAGCCATCAATAATGGACACCCCTCCCAGGCCATTGACCTTAGCCTCCTGCATTAGTGGCGTATGTTTGAAATAGTGTATTGGATTTTTCTAAATTGAATTGAATAGTGTCAAAAAAATACACATGATATTGTAGTGCACCACTAGAGGGCAGATTGGTTTGTCATATGTGTGTAAATGCTGTTCTTGCAGAGTAGATGTATACCCATAATCAATGTTTTTGGGTTTAGATCGCGTTATTTATAAATGTGTCGTAACCCTCCACCACCCGACACGGCCAATCAGTAAAAAAGTGTTACGTTGACAAAAGACAAATAGTTCACTGCTTTAGCCCACCGGTGTGTTGAAGCCACAACATTTACAATTTGAGTACGACGTTTCGCTGGTAATTGCATCCAGCATCATGATGCTGGAGGGTTACGACACATTTATGAATAACGCGATCTAAACCCAAAAACGTTGATTATGAATAACATTGGTCGCGAAAGCCTACGTGTTAAACTAGATGTATACCACACGTACATTAAAACATTGTTCAATGAAATTATTTTAAAATATAAACAAAAATGCTCATCAATAACAGTTTTTAGATGCTTTTGAGTCCAAACTTGAGAGGCTTTCATTGACAAGAAGAGTGACATTATGTTAGCGAGCCATCGAACAAAGACGGTGAAAGCATCGCGCGCTTTCAAATGCCCTTCTGCGGCCGTGTCGCACTTCTTTACAATATTAGGAAGCCACTGGAGCTAAGCTCGTTTAAATCTAGATTGAACACCCATTTATTTATAAGTTCTTTTTGTGTTGAGTTTGTTGTCCTTCCCTGCACCTCCGATTAGCTCGGTTGGCTATGCACAGTGTGAAAGACGTTCAACATACGTCAGAGGTCGCAAACGGGTTTTGATTCCTTACCCGTAGCCATACCCAGCCGCACCAGGGTCGCAAACGGGTGCCCGTACCCGTACCCGGCCGTACCTGTACCCTACCCGTACCCGGCCCGGGTACGAGTAGGGTACGGGTATCGGGTACCTGATTGCGACCTCTGGGATGAAGCCATGTTGCAGGCGCGGGTGGGTTGATTCTAGGAACTTGAATTGTGAAAAGAAACAAGACGTTGGGAAATGAGTGACAAACAGTTACTCACCAGTGACTCACGGCCTACCCGTACCCGGCCGCACCAGGGTCGCAAACGGGTACCCAGGGAAGGTGATTGGTGGAAAGTGGGATGATAAGTGTAAGTGGGGTGTGAGCTGGTGTCCATCAGAGGTCGCAACCGGGTACCCGATACCCGTACCCTACCCGATACCCGGCTACCCGTACCCGGCCGGGTATGGGTACCCATTTGCGGCCCTGGTGCGGTCGGGTACGGGTACGGGTAGACTGTGAGTCACTGGTGAGTAACCGTTTGTCACTCATTTCCCAACGTCTTGTCTCTTCTCACAATTCAAGTTCCTAGAATCAACCCACCCGCGCCTGCAACATGGCTTCATCCCAGAGGTCGCAATCAGGTACCCGGTACCCGTACCCTACCCGTACCCGGCCGGGTACGGGTAGGGTACGGGTACCCGTTTGTGACCCTGGTGCGGCCGGGTACGGGTAAGGAATCAAAACCCGTTTGCGATCTCTGGTGTCCATATAAAGACCCTTTTTCGACCAGCTCGATTCTCCTCTTCAGGTGTATAATAAATGTGTGCACGGTTCATTTACGTTCTCTTAACACGTGTATATATATGTTTCTGAGCCTCATTCCGCTCTTGCAGGTGGAGCGGCTTCCTCATGTGCGCAGTGGCCATGTCATTGGTGGTCGCCCCGATGTTCAGTTTCCCAAAGAAGCTTCCTCCGCGGCCGCACAAGAAATCCAAGCAGGGCAGTGACGAGCCGGGAGCCGAGGACCCTGGGAAGAGCGAAGACAACGGACTCAAGCAGAAGTGCCCCAACAACGAGGAATCGAACGCTTCTTCGTCCGTCGGCTTTGGCAAGGACATCAGAGGTTAGCTAATCGTGGAAGCGTTCGGCTTCGCCGCGCAAACCTCAAAGGTTTATGGATGCGATTCGAACCGCCGGTGGTGCTAGCTGTGTAGAAGTAGTACAAAAAAAAAATTGGTTCCAAAATTACGGATCTAAAATGATGACGAGATCGCAAGATCACATTCAGATTCGAGCGTGCCAGGTTCTCATACCCACATGCTTTAACAATACATCATTTTTCGATTTAAAGCTTTCGTGACTGCAGGGATTCATCTTCTTGGTTCTTTTGGTAAAGTCACGTGACTTTACCGAAAGAACCAAGAAGATGAATACATCGTTTATAAGCAGCTTCGGAGGCACTCGCTGAGTTCATTATGTTCAAGGGTGCTTTGAAAATCACCTTTTCTTTATTCATCTCTTAAATACCAAATATTGTACGCTATCTAAGTTTGACAAGGTATTTGGAAATTATAATCCGAATAGTACACTTTTAATATATCTATACTGGAATGTCTCTTTCTATCTGCAATTTTTCGTTGTCACCCTGTCTCAATGTATTCATCTCTCCTCTCGCTGCATTCATCTGCTCCCTACTTTGTCTCCCTTTCTATCTGTTTGTATCTCCCTCTGTATCCCCGTGTCTCTCATTGTCCGTGTTTCCCTCTTGCTATCAATCGTTTTTATCGATCTTCTTTATACTCCTAGGTTTTTTCGGTAAAGCCACGTAGGTAAAAATAAAAATAAATAATAAAAATTATAGAAATAATAATGCAAATAAAATAATAATATAATAATACAATTATTATTTTCTATTATTATTTCTATAATTTGTATTATTTATTTTTATTTTTACCTATGTGACTTTACCGAAAAAACCTAAGAGTATGAATCCTTGCAGTCACGAAAGCTTCAAATCTAGAATTATCTTCTTTATCTCTTTGTCTCTCTGTCTCTCTCTGTGTTCTTCTGTCTCTCTTGTCCGTCGACCTCCGTGTAACCCTCCCCATCTTTCTCTCCATGTTTCATTTACCAGCCTCTGTCTCCTTAACCTGTCTTCTTCACTCCGTCCCATCGTCATTGTCTCTAGAATTCCCCCTTTGTTTCATCTTGCCCGTCTGTGTCTGTGTCTCTCCATCATCGTCTATTGCTGACTTGTCTCGATGTCTTTCGCTGCCTGAGCCTCTCTCCCTATATCAGTTTTGCGGAGTGAAAATTTTGCGTGCCCATTATTATATTTCACTTCTTTAACCGTGCTGGCTTACGACACACACACACACCACACACTAAACAAAAAGCCAGTGTTATCTTACACCAAACGCAGATCAGTCAGTCAGATTATTTCGGGTATTTTTTTTTCTCCTGTCCAACCTACGCAGTCTTTTCCCAACGTTCTGCACAGGCCACCGCTTCTGGCATCGGCATTGCCAAATCTTGAGGAGTAGAGTTGTGGTGCTGAGGGGCATCTCAGGAGATGATCCACGGGTCGCTTCTCCTGACAAGCTCATTGGTCGGTTGTGTAGAAGCCCCCCCGCCTCCCCCCCCGTGATTTAATGAGAGTTGAGCTAAGGAGGTTTCTTTGCAATGGTGACCTGGCTAAAATGGCAAGCATGTCACATGGTGAATGGAGGGTTTACAGTTTCAATTATTAGGTGTAGCCCTGTGAGCCATTCGGCTCTTGAATCAGGTGCAACCGCAACAAACAAAAACGTGAACAAGAAACATCTTAAAGTGACTACGCGCAAACAGAAAAATCCAGGAAAAAACAGCAAAGTGTTGCAGAAAAAGCACCGAATATCAATGCTGTGTGCAAAAATCCCAGTGGGATGCAAGTCAAACAACAACAACCACAAGACGATTTAGAATAAAGCTATCAGTCTAACTCTGTACTACAACAAAGAAATATGGCTAAACCAAAACGTTTTCTAAATCACCAAAATAAAGCGATAAAAGCAATGTAACAGTGATCATTGCTTTACAGTAGTTTCATGGAAGAGAAGCGGGGAGAATGTTTTATAAACACGGTTCATAAACAACCAGTACGATACATAGGGGACATCTAGTAGGCAATTCAAACTAAACATATTTGACACAATTGAGAGAAACTTACATATGGCATTCAAATGGTATTTAAACACAACGTGAATAACAATTGCATTTGCTATTTTAAAGTAACTGTTTTTGGGTTCATATTCTTGGTTCTTTCGGTAAAGTCACGTAGAAGGGAAGCAATAAAATAATAAAAATATAAAACACTAAAATTCTCACGACGTTTCGATTGCAACACAAGCAATCATCATCAGGTGTGAAAACCACAGCAAGAAAATTTTAAAAAAGTGGCCACTTTTTTCAAATGATTGCTTGTGTTGCAATCGAAACGTCGTGAGAATTTTATTGTTTTATATTTTTATTATTTCATTGTTTCCCTTCTACGTGACTTTACCGAAAGAACCAATGATATGAATCCCTGCAGTCACGAAAGCTTTAAATAAAAATAAGTTTTTGGGTTGTTTATTTCTTCCAAAACTGGCATGAACAATGTTCCAGTCACAAATGGATTGCCTAATTGCATTCTAAAGTGCGGCACTATTGGCCATAAAGCAATGCCCTCAATGCCGACAAAGATGGCAGGGTCAGAATATGGTGTTTAGTGTACAATTAATTCCAGAACGTAGTTAAAATAGGCATGCTACGTAATCGCTATCATGTAACCCATTAAGTGCAGCGTAATTAAGGATCATTGACCCAGCTCTGTCAGAAAATGAATTTACCATCTGCCTGTAAGCAGGGCCAGATTAATTCAGGGGCTTAATGACATAAAATTGGTAATTAGAGCAAGCCCATTACTACGTATACTACTACCACCAGTACTATGCAGAGTGTAGTGTAGGCTTAAACATGTGTATAGCACACAAAAACTAGAACTGAAATAACCAAAGTAAAAGGTGGTGGTGAAAATCTGAATCTTTCTTTAACCTTGAGAAATTCGATGAGCTATGAAGCAGTTTTTTCACAAATGTCCAGTAGGGGCACGGGGTCAGAAAGTGACAGCGGCAACCAAATGCAAAAATAAACCGATAGGAGTGCAAAGCATCTTAAAGGAAAGCAAATCACTGAAAATAAATATATTTAATAGATAAAGCATATATGTTCGAATTGCGTAAGTACAGCAAACTTCCAAGCTTGGGCAAGGCAATTAAACAACAGCAAGAACAATCCCAGACCACACCAAGAAAACGCAGACAAAGATCTCCCATGTAGCCTTAACAGACTGTAGGGGCAAGTGCTGTTAGCGAGCACCTATGAAGGCAGGCACGGCACACGAGGGGGTGGGTGGCCAACACCACGCCCGGTCACCTTTGTCTCCCTAGTGGCGATGTTTACACACTGCACCAGGTACTCATTTGAGGCTGAGTCGACCTAGGGGAGGCCCAGAACTGGTTGAGATAATCGTCACTGGATATTGGCCGTCAACGGGAATGGAATCTGGGTCGCCACGTTCGTAGCGCGGCGCGCTAACCGCTACACTACCGCTCCCCCCAAGACAACAACACACAGTCCCCCAGTCGAGGAGGGAAAGGATTGAATACACAGAGAGGGCGTCCCCCAAACCTACAACAGCCCCCCGTGACCCCCCATCAAACTGATTGACTCTGACGTGTCCGATGATGACCCCCCCCCCCCCCCGTGTGCCCGTTTATACCGCAGAGCTCCCTCGAGCGGCCGCGCGCATCCTGGGAAACTGCACCTTCCTCTTCATGAGCCTCTCCTACACCGCGGAAAACGCCATCGTCACCGCCTTCATCACCTTCATACCCAAGTTCATCGAGTCTCAGTTCGGCATCCGAGCCTCAAGCGCCAGCATCTACACGGGTATGCTCAGGGCGCCGAGATGTTCACTCCCTCGCCTGGTAGGCGGGGAGGGTCGTGGCTTCGATCCCGACCCCCTGACACCTGTATCAGCGGTCGCAACCGGGTACCCGATACCCGTACCCTACCCGATACCCGGCTACATGTACCCGGCCAGGTACGGTTACCCGTTTGCGACCCTGGTGCAGCCGGGTACGGGTACGGGTAGGCCGTGAGTCACTGGTGAGTAACCGTTTGTCACTCATTTCGGGTAGGGTACGGGTAGCCGTACCCGGCCGGGTACGGTTACCCGTTTGCAACCCTGGTGCGGCCGGGTACGGGTAAGAAATCAAAACCCGTTTGCGACCTCTGACCTGTATATATTTGGAGTCTGCGTGTTCTCCCCGTGGTCACGTAGATCTTTCTCTGGATCCTCCAGTTTTCCCCCTTCACGTTTATAAACACGGGTTTTCGAGTATTTTGCTGCTATACATCTCCACATTGAGCAGTAATTGTTTAAATTTCGATTTAAAGCTTTCGTGACTGCAGGGATTCATCTTCTTGGTTCTATCGGTAAAGTCACGTAGAAGGAAAATAATAAAATAATAAAAATAAAACATAATAAAATAATTCTCACGACGTTTCGGCCACAACGCAAGCAGCCGTCCTCAGGTGAAGAACAGGTCGTGAGAATTATTTATTATGTTTTATTTTTATTATTTTATTATTTCCCTTCTACGTGACTTTACTGTAATTGTTTATTCTGAAAAAGAGCTATACAGCTCAGTGCGCCTTACCTGGTATAATCAAAAGTAGCTTTAATAGTTCAACAAAGAAGGGCAGCATATGCTTGCATCTAATCACAATGTCAAATTGCTGTGCGCAGTGTCGCATCTAATGAGCCCGTACGTAGCGAGGTCTCCATGCCACCCTTGATACTGAACCTCTGAGTTTTAAGCATTCATGTTTAACCCCGAGATTCATCGAGGCTCATTAGTCTGACTGCAGGAGGACTCAGGCAATATCATTGAATGATAAGAAACCTGAAAGTGCTTTCTTCTGTCTCCCTGGGCCTCAGGCAATAATGCTGCACCCTGAGAGTCCTACAGATGTTTCAGTCTGGCTCTGTGCCTCAACAATAACACTGAACTTTAGGTATCCTGAGTGTGCTCCAGTATGCCTTTGTAAGTCAAGGGAAATAACATTGAATCTCAAGAATCCTAATAATCAGGCTACAGTTTACATTATAGACTGCCAGTACACTCACTCCGGTTAAGAACCAGTCTACATCTTCTTGGTTCTTTCGGTAAAGTCACGTAGAAGGGAAGTAATAAAATAATAAAAATAAAACATAATAAAACAATTCTCACGACGTTTCGGCCACAACGCAAGCAGCCGTCCTCTTCGCCTGAGGACGGCTGCTTGCGTTGTGGCCGAAACGTCGTGAGAATTGTTTTATTATGTTTTATTTTTATTATTTTATTACTTCCCTTCTACGTGACTTTACCGAAAGAACCAAGAAGATGAATCCCTGCAGTCACGAAAGCTTTAAATCGAAACCAGTCTACAGTTTACATGAGTGTTTTTTAGTTTTTTATTATTTTTCTTTTATTTTTATTCACTTTATTTATTATTTTTCTATCTACGTGACTTTACCGAAAGAACCAAATAATATCAATCCTCAAGGTGTCTCAGTCAATCCTAACGAACTATAAGCATTCCTAAAGAGTCGCATCATGTGGTTGTGTGAGCGTATGCAGTGACTGCTCATATCTGCACGTATATATATAATCAAAATATGTAAAAATAACACAAATTAATCCGTAATTATATCTACCGGATGTTGTGACGTCACATCCTGTCTAACGTCCATGTCCCATGCACCATTGACTTTCTGGCGATGCACGCTACGTATTATTTTTCATTATTATTATTTTATAGGTGTAATGGGGCAGCCCTGCAATATCTCACTCGTGCCATTGTTGGTTGAGGGGTCTCCACTTGCTGGAGCACTAGACAGCCCCTCTGGAGGGTATTTGGCCTACTCTTTTATGCTCACTAGACGTCTTGGGAGAGGAACAACTTAGAACTATAGATGTGTAACTGTGTAAACATCTTTTTGGTTCTTTCGGTAAAGTCACGTAGAATGGAAATCATAATATAATAAAAATAAAACACAATAAAATAATTCTCACGACGTTTCGGCCACAACGCAAGCAGCCGTCCTCAGGTGAAAGAACCAAGAAGATGAATCCCTGCAGTCACGAAAGCTTTAAATCGAAATGTGTAATCATCATTTGCTTCTGCTCTATACAGTCTGGTGAGAAAGTCAGTGGCTTTTACAATGGAGCCTCCAATAAATGTGTCGTCAATTTTCTGCATGAGTCTCGTGTGACGTGACTGGTTTCGCGATGTTAGGGAATTTAACATACGTTGATGTGCAGTTTTATTTTAATATTTGATTGTAAATTTTGGAACTATAACAACAGCCAATCCTTATTCAACATTGGGTGCGATATTGCGATAAAAAAAATCAATGGTGAATCATTAGCAGATCATTGGTAATGACGTTACAAGGTCTTCAGCAGACATGTTATTGTGGATTTTGTATTCTTTCACGGAAGAAGGAATGTCCAAAACAGCGTAATTACCTAAATTTTGTGCTCAAGGTTAACTTTAAGCGATGTTCATGAATTGGGAAATGCTTTTTCCGAAGAATGGTCCCCGTATAGTAGTAGACACGGCCTGTCAATCACTATTGTTTAGACGCTGTACATGCCACCCATACAGCCCGAATGAATGGTCTTCGGTTGACGTCAGTGGCTCTCATGCAATTGTGTGATAAGAAAAATATCGGGGAAAAAAAACTCCCTTGCGGCAAAAGTGAGTGCCTTTCTGAAGGAAATAATCACAAAAGCCTCAGTCTTCAGGTAACCTTGAAATTCAGCGCCAAATGGTGGGAAATTGTATTTTCTTTCAAGTGGACAACGCACATCCGTATATTGGCCTTTTGGAATTCATTCACCGGTAGCGTAGCTAAGGGATGCTACCGTTGTGCAATGGTTAGCATTCTGGACGACTTGCAATCCAGGGGTCACTGATTTCGACCTTATGGCGCGACAGTTAACGCAATCGATGAGTTGATTAAATCCACCACTGCCTCTATCCATCCAGCAGTGGAGATGGTTACATCTGAGTTGGTCGATGTGGTGGGTCGTGTGTCGAGGGGTAAAGTGTTGATACTGCCACCTCCTCCAAGATGATTGATCAGTGCGGTAGAGCAGGCCAAAATGACCTTGTGAGGGGCTCTCTAAATCCCCTTCTGTTGGAGCCTCTTCTCTTATATCGATTCATAACGCACCATATTCCGAGGTGCTTTAGAGCAATTATGAAATTATACATCAGATGATCGTGGTTGAGATAAAGAGTGTGGTGATCAGGAGTGGTGGTGTATTTGTGGTGACAGGAAATTAGGTGAGAGTGGTTAAGGGGGGGTTGGCATACAAGAAATGACATGGGTTGGGGTAGTTGTAGGGGTAGTGATAGGGGTAGTGATAGGGGTTGGGGTAGTCATAGGGGTAGTGATAGGGGTTGGCGTAGTGATAGGGGTTGGTGTAGTGATAGGGGTTGGGGTAGTGATAGGGGTTGGGGTAGTAGTGACAGGGCTTGGGGTAGTGATGGGGTTTGGGGTAGTGATAGGGGTAGTGGTAATGATAAGGGTTGGGGTAGTGATTGGGGTTTGGGGTAGTGATAGGGGTTGGGGTAGTGATTGGGGTAATGTTAGTGGTAGTGATAGGAGTAGGGGTAGTGATAGGGGTAGTGGTAATAATAGGGGTTGGGGTATGCCTGGTGATATCTGGGGAGTAGCAGTCGCTGTAGGATGGGAGAAGAGAGGGGGGTTGCTTTAAGGGAGGAATGGAAACAGTTCGTAAAGACGATAATTTTTTTGTGCAGTGAGAGTTTGTAATAAGTCGTATCTGATACCAGAAAGTCAACTTGGTGACATCGAAACATTCGGTAGATATTATTATTATCATCGCACAGCAGATGGAGAACAAACGACGATGACCTTTGACCTCCTTTGACCAATTCATTCACCGCAACCTCTTGACCAAACGCGCAGGCATCGTGATCGTCCCAAGCGCTGGCGTGGGCATTGTGATTGGCGGCCTCATCATCAAGAAACTCAAGCTGGGTGCTCGCGAATCCGCCAAGCTGGCCATGATCTGCTGCGGAGTCTCTCTGCTCTGCTTCTCGACGCTCTTCATCGCCGGCTGCGAGAGCATCAACCTGGGAGGCATCAATATCCCCTACACCACAGGGTCAGACCTCGCAAGCCAGTTGCGGCCGACTTTCGCGCCACCGCTTCGAGCGCTCGCGACACAATGATGGGCGGTTAAATTTCGATTTAAAGCTTTCGTGACTGCAAGGATTCATCTTCTTGGTTCTTTTGGTAAAGTCACGTCGAAGGGAAGTAATAAAATAATAAAAATAAAACATAATAAAATATTTTTATTATTTTATTACTTCCCTTCTACGTGACTTTACCGAAAGAACATAGAAAATGATGGGCAGTTCGATTTAATCGTTAAAATTACGAAGTTGCGACGGCGCGAAAGATAAAAAAAATAATTGGCGCGCGGAAACGTCACGCTCTCGTGGATTTAACGTGCGTTGCGATATATTGACGGTATAAAAAAACGTGCGCCCGTGTTGAAATGAAACGTGCATTTGGCATCAATGCTGTGGCGTGTAAACTGTTAAACAATTTTTCATGGAACGATCCTTTCCCCCACAGCGATTCGAGGAACGGTCACGATTCGGGATAATATTCAACTCAAGATTCGGTTGTGTTGCTCTCGTTTATACAGTCCAGTTTCATCCAGTAGCCTGCAAAGGTAACATCAGCATATCACTTTCAGCACCACCACCAACGGTCAATCCACTGCTGGATGAAGACCTACCGCAAGCGGCCGCCTTCGCCTGCGATACAGATTTAATAAAACAAAAGCCCACTTAAATTTCGATTTAAAGCTTTCGTGACTGCAGGGATTCATCTTCTTGGTTCTTTCGCTAAAGTCACGTAGAAGGGAAATAATAAAATAATGAAAATAAAACATAATAAAATAATTCTCACGACGTTTCGGCCACAACGCAAGCAGCCGTCCTCAGGTGAAGAACAGGTCTGTCATTCAGACGCTGTCTTTCCGACAGACCTGTTCTTCACCTGAGGACAGCTGCTTGCGTTGTAGCCGAAACGTCGTGAGAATTATTTTATTATGTTTTATTTTTATTATTTTATTATCTCCCTTCTACGTGACTTTACCGAAAGAACCAAGAAGAAAAAATCCCACTTCTTTTTCCACCACAATTCAATCCGCGCATCTCGAGCGCACGATCAATCTCAATCAACGCAACGATCCCCGAAAAACGCGCACTCCGCATCGCACCGCGGCGGCGGCGGCGTTAAACTGCTCCGTTGCCCAATGCCCGTCAATGCGCGTACGCGCGCGTTACCTATCTATGCATGTACGTCGAACTTCTTTCGCGCCCTACCGAGCCGACCGTAGCTAACTGGAGGGGCCCCGTTGACGCGCGCCCCCCCCCCCCCCCCGGCACCGTACGCGACACGCCGCTACGAAAACCCACGCCGTTCGCGCCGAGCAAACGCGTCAAACGGGCCGCCACCCAACGCGCCCCGTCGGGTCTGCTGCCAGGCCCTCCCTGAAGGTGACGCGGCGGAACCTGACGTGGGAGTGCAACGTGAACTGCGGCTGCCGCATGCAGCAGTACAGCCCCGTGTGCGGCTCCGACGGCATCACCTACTTCAACCCCTGCCTGGCCGGCTGCACGGCCGCCTCCAGGGATTCGGCCAGCGGGGTACGACGCTGCACGCGCTTGGCCAATGCAGCTCCACCACCACCACCACCACCGCCACCACCGCCACCACCACCGCCACCGCCACCACCACCGCCACCGCCACCGCCACCAACACCACCACCGCCACCGCCACCACCGCCACCGCCACCGCCACCGCCGCCGCCGCCGCCGCCGCGCCACCGCCACTACCGCCACCACTACCCCGCCACCACCACCACCACCGCCACCACCACCGCCACCGCCACCACCACCGCCACCGCCACCGCCACCACCACCGCCACCACCACCACCGCCACCACTACCACCAACCACCACTAACCACCACCACCAACCACCACTAACCACCAAGTGGGTTCAAGTGTTTCGATTTACAGCTTTCGTGACTGCAGGGATTCATCTTCTTGGTTCTTTCGGTAAAGTCACGTAGAAGGGAAATAATAAAATAATAAAAATAAAACATAATAAAATAATTCTCACGACGCTTCGGCCACAACGTAAGCAGCCGTCCTCAGGTGGAGAACAGGTCTGTCGGCTGCTTGCGTTGTGGCCGAAACGTCGTGATAATTATTTTATTATGTTTTATTTTTATTACTTTATTATTTCCCTTCTACGTGACTTTACCGAAAGAACCAAGAAGAGGGCTCAAGTGTGTTCGTTCCCAACGGGCCTGACCAATTGTTTTTTTTTTATCCCCACAGTTGTTGTTGTTGTTGCGAATGTCTGTATGGTGTGCGTGGCCATGTTTGTGCCTATTGCTGCTGCTGCTGCCGTTGGCGGTTCTGCCACGGAGGTTGTCGCAGCCACTTGTAATCTGAGTGTCGAGCTGCGGGTTGAGTGTTTCATTCCCTCCTGGTTTTGGCCACGTGCTGCCACGGGGCATATTCGGTTCGTTCAACTCTCGGTCGTTGGTGCTGGGTATGGCATAAAACTTTAGATGGAGGGGGTTGAAATTAAAGAGTTTGGATGTCTCTTCTGGGTGCCACGGCAGCGAGATGTTAACTACCTCGCCTGGTATACAGGAGGTCGTGGGTTCGATCCCTAACCCTTGACGCCTGCTGCTGTATATTTGGAGTTTGCGTGTTCTCCCCGTAGTCGCGTGGATTCTTTTCGAGGTCCTCCGGTTTTTACCTTCACATTTAGAAACGTGCGTTGAGAGTATTTGGCTTCTATAAATTATCCACACGATAAGCCACTCAGTAGAGCTATCAGTTGTGACCTTTTGAAAATGTACGTTTTGTATCACACTATGAAAAGATGATGAAATCCAAAATGTTCCTTGTACACTCCATCTAGATAGAAATGTTGAACTGATGTCACACCGTGTGTAGCCAACCGTGCTAATTGGAGTTGTCCGGGAAGGGCAACAAACTAAACACAATGATTACGTTTTAAAGAAATTCGTCTTCAATCTACATTTAAAACTGCATAGCTCCAGTCGCTTCCTAATATCGGAAGTAAGACCATTCCAGATGACCGCAGAAGCACATCTGAAAGCGTGCGATGCAGTCGCCATTTTTGTTCGATGGCTAGCCATAACTATTTAATAATTATCACGAAACTTGAGCAAATCAGCCGCTCGCTGTGCTGTGCTCTTGCTCCGTGCACCTATTTGCCATCCCCTCTCTCCCCTCCGATTCGCACGGCTGGCTACGCACGGCGTGAAAGAGGTTCAACGCACGTGCGTTCAAAGCGCCCTGCACGTGACCCGACGTTCGACCGACATCCGTGTAACCTCCCGCTCTCGCTCTCCCGCTCGCTCCCACTCCGGCCGCTCGCAGAACATCCACAACTTCACGGACTGCGCGTGCATCCAGAGCCAGAAGGTGATCGCACAGACGGAGAGCGGCCACCGGGGACACATCCACTTGGTGATCATCAAGACGTTCCTGCACGAGAGCGGCCACGCGCTGCCGGGAAAGTGCACCAGAGACTGCCGCACGCTGGTGCCCTTTCTGATCTTCCTCTTCATCGTCACGCTCATCACGGCCTGCGCTCAGCCCTCCGCCATCATCGTCACGCTCAGGTGCTGCGGTCCTTTCCGATTCCAAGAACACAGGATGAGATGTTTCTATCCTTTGTGCAAGCACTTCCAAGAGTTCATGAACAGTGAGCCTGGTGAAATTTGGGGAGCGCATCGTCAGTAGTGTACCTTTGGTTCCTAGGGTGTTTCGGCCTTTCACACTATACACCCTCCCCAAAGGCGGCCAGCGACAGGGTGATCAATCCTACGCTTGCGTCCCATTCCCAATTAGTCATAGGAGTTGCCTTTTTGTTGATAGCCAACATCCCATGGGACTATGCATGGCAGGGGCGTCCTCCTCCCTGAGTCAAGCATTGTTGACCGCATACCTCCTGCTCCTCTCACTTCGGGGCCCAGCTGGGGTCTTTCCTCTTCATCCAGAGCCATCATCGTCACGCTCAGGTGCTGCGGTCCTTTCCGTGATGGGCTCGGGCAAAGGTGCGATTGGCTGACGTAGAGGAGAACGCATTGGGAGTGGCGGTAGTGCGGCGGTTGGCGCACAGCGCACCGCGCCACTGATCCGGCACCCTGAGTTCAATTCCCGGTTACGGCAAATGACACCAAGTGGCGAGGGATATATGAAGACGTCCTGGTCTTCCCCTGCCCCCCCCCCCCATCACCAACAACCTACACTGACCAGTTTGGTGAAGTATGGTCAAACAACCACCGTGATCGATGTGGCCTTCATTCAGCAGTGGATTTATAAAATATATATAAGCACTCGTGAGTAAAACTACATTTGGTTATTTTTACAAACTCAAAGCCAGTGAGTTTTTTAATTATTATTTTACATTTAGCTGCTCATGCCCGACTGAAGGACAATGAAGCATTGAAAGTCACAGACTACGAGATTAAGGTCTCCGTAGACCACGTGAGTTGTGGAGGATTGTTTGACCATACCTCACCATACCTCACCGTGTGGGTTGGTGAAAGTGCGGGACCCAGGACCAGTTCAGGTATCACTCGCTGCTGGAATTAACCGTGGCCAGAGTTCAAACTCAGGTCGCCAGGTACATAGCGTAGTATGTTAACCACAGTACCACCAATTCCCCGCCAAAACAAGAGAAAATTAATATGCACGTTTTAATAGCCCCAGGCAGGCTACGTGTTATCAATAACCGATAATGGTGAAGAACGTGGGAATTGCACAGGGATGAGGAAGCACAATATGGTGATTAATAAAACCAATGTGCGATAAGGAGAAATGTTCAATGAGTATGTATCGTCTGATTTGTCATATGCTGGGAATTACGCCGACATACAGAAGGAGGAAAGCAGAGGACAAACTAAAATTGGAGGCATCACACTGACTGTTTAAAAAACTAATATTCTGACCAGAACCCGGTACAGATCACAAGCAATAACAAGTAAACCCGTAAAAACAAAGTTTTTCACTACAAATCCTTTATATGCGTGACATCGGGGCGGCTAGAGTCCTCTCGTCCTCTGGCTTGAGATGGCTGCCACCTATGGGTTAGATGATTGTCTGGCAGCATTAAACAATTGGTAATTAAATATTTAAAAAAATTTCCCTAAACAGTGTAAAATTTTGGAATTTTTTTCACGAAAATGCATTGTCACGCACAACGAGCCTGTGTGCAAAATGTCAGCTCGATTGGATCACGGGAAGTGGGTTAAAACACGACCGAAATATTTGCACGGTCCTAAGCAAGCAAGCGAACTTAATATAAAGGATTTAAAAGCAGAAAAGGGGGACACAGAAACCCCGTGGGCAGAAGTCCGAAACGTAGAGCTCACTGGCTGGGGGAGAGGGAGAGAAATGTATTACGAATACCTTTTTTTTTAAAAATTACCAGGTAAGGCCCATTGCCTCTTTTTATCAGAACCGACCTGGCTATCACTAAAAAAACCATCGCCTAATGAATTGGCTTCTCGTGATGTGGAAATGTATCGCATCTAAATACTCTCTGAATGAAATGATCTCACCACCCCACTTGCGTAGGGAGTGCGAGCGTGCGCACGCACTTTTTTTTGTTATAAGGGGAAGGCGAGGAAAAATGATCAAAAGTTATGGGGTGGCAGGAGGAGGTGGGTCATCGTGTTGACTGTCAATAAAAGTAAGCGGGCTTGGGCTGGACACGTCATATAGCTGGGAGGGAATTTGGCCGATGGACGAGACTGGTGACGGAGCGGCAGCCAAGAAAGGGCCACAGCTGAGAGTTTGAACGCCGCTGAGACGGTGCAATGACATGTGCAGAAGTGAGACTGCATGATGGTGTCCGAAGACCATGAAGGATGATGATGATGATGGTCGTTAATGATTGTAACGAATATGCGGTATACTCGTGGTGTAGGTGCAATACGCGAGTGTTTGTGTTTACTGGTGCTTTAACATCGTGGAAGACCGAATGATGATTATCTTTGTCTTGATCCAGATCGGTGGAAGAAACAGAAAGGCCTTTGGCACTCGGCATGCAGTTCGTGTTGCTGCGCACTCTAGGTAACATGAGATTTCATTCACCGGTAAACTCCGGCTTGCCGGACTTCGCATGTCTGGAATTCAGAATGAGCCAGGTTTTGTCCGGAAAATGTTAAAGAAAGAAAATGCTATTTAATTCTCCAGTAAACCCTGGCTAACTGGACTTCATGTGTATGGAATTCAGACTGAGCCAGGCTCGGTCCGGAAACTGGTAAAGCGAAAAAATGCGATTTCATTCTCTGGTAAACCCCGGCTAACCGGACTTCACGTATCCAGAATTCAGACTGAGCCTGGCTCAAAATGTTCAAGCAAAATAGCTATCTGCAAGCCAAAAAGGCCACCTCTATAGATAAACATTTCCACACTCTCAGCAACCCAACAATGCTAAGCCCGCACCCATGCTACACAGCCCCCAGGCCACCAGGAGAATGATGACAAAAGTGTTCAGTGGCGAGCTTGCAATGTGCAGTCCTGTAACTTTAAGATTGAGTAAACCTTGAGGTTAGTTCCAGTTAAAGTTTTCAATTTTTTGGGGGGCAAAGGTTGAAGGCGTTGACACTCGCCTCAGTGACATTTCTTAATTTGTTTATAATTTTAGATTTTTGCTTGGTAGTAGAGTTTTCCTTTGCTTGGTGAGCATGTGTGCTGATTGATGCTATATAAAATGAAAGTATTTTTTATTATCATTCCATGGTACTAAAGGAGCGGGGTCTAAGCACAAGCTAGATGAAAATAAAGAAACTAAAACACAAGTATAACCCGTAAAAACAAAGATTTTCACTATAAATCCTTGATATGCGAGTCCTCTCGTCCTCTGGCTTGAGATGGCTGCCACCTATGGGTCAGATGATTGCATTGCACCATTAAGCAATTGGTAATTAAATATAATATTTTTGTCCTAAAAAGTGTACAATTTTTGAAAAAAAATTTCACGAACATTAATTGTCACGCACAACGAGTCTGTGTGGAAAATGTCAGCTCGATTGGATCACGGGAAGTGGGTTAAAAAACGACCGAAAGATTTGCACGGTCCTAAGCAAGCAAGCGAACTTAATACAAAGGATTTAAAAAAGGCAGTTCTACCAGCCCGGTTTCGAGAGCTCTCGCCGTGGATTCGCGGCGCTTAACGGCACCTGACGCGGCGCTTGTGCCTCCCTCGCACCCGCCAGCGTACATCCCGACTCCGATCTACTTCGGCGCCGTCATCGACACCACGTGCATGCTGTGGCAGCAGCACGACTGCGGCACCTACGGCTCGTGCCTCGAGTACGACGTCACCTCCTTCCGCTTCGTCTACTTCGGCCTCGTGGCGGGCATCAAGTTCATGGGCTTCATCTTCATCTTCCTCACGTGGTACTCCATCAAGCGGCGCGAGGAGCGCGCCTCGCTGGCCGCCGGCGACAAGCCGAGCGCCGCCTCCTCGGCCGACGGGAGGCCCGGTGGCCACGGTGCCGAACGCAGCGCGCGCATTCACGGCTGCATGCGAACTCGCTCCTGCCCTTCGTTCGTGACGGGCAACCTCGCCATCGCCGCGACCGCCGCCACCGCCGCGGCCGCCGCGTCCGCGGCGGCGGCGGCCGATCCGAGGGGTGCGCCCGCCGGCAGCCCGGCGCTGGTCCATCACCGGGACTACAGCGACGGGGCGGCGTCCATCAGCCTGTGCAGCGCCGTGGCGCCGGCCGACTCCAACGACAACGTCGTGTTCGGCAGCACTCGGGTGTAGGGGTTCGTCGCGCGTCCGGTGCCTTCGGCGTGCGCGCTTGCGTGCGCACTTGCGTGCGTGTACGCAAGCACGTGAGCGTGCGTGGGTACACGCTCATGTGTGTGCTTGCGTGCACGCTTACGTGCGCGCGTGCGTACTTACGTGCGTGCGTGTGCGTGCGTGTGTGTGCACGCGTGCGTGCTTACATGCGTACGTGCGTGTGCGCGCGTGCGTGCTTACATGCGTGCATCACATCGTTGCACCGAGTTTAAGGGGACAGCATCGCAATGTGGCGATGGTGTCTCCACCCAGAGGAAGCCCTAGAGAGGCCCCTGATGGTGGGCTATTTGGCCTACTCTTCCACGTTGGCTCTACACGTCTTGGCAAAGATGGGAGTTAGTGCTGGATGTTGACACCTTACAGACATATATTGTACGTATGGCGATTGGAACTGTGAAGGGATTATAAACGTGTGCGTCTTGCAATATAGAGATAAATAAATATGAACGTGCCACGTTTGTGCAGTATCTCGTTTTAAACCGTAAAAACGTCACGTGCTAAAAAAAAGACATGAAATACCTCGGCTAATAAATTCGAAAAAAAGTTACTTAAATTCAACTTCGCAACATTTGGAATGTATAGCCATATTTACAGATATGTGTGCAAACGGTCATGAATAGAGTAGGGGCCAAACTCGTGATGACTTTAGATGAAAGTGTGTTGACGTCTCCTTTACCTGCAAAAAGGAAAGGATGGAATTATCAGCGATGCTGCATGTCAGCTGCTTAATAAATATGCGGATCTGGTCCCATGTATAGAAAGTGTACATTAGATGCAATGCAGCGGCGTACAATAACCTGATAAAAACATCGCAAACATTGCACTCACTCGGACATCTATGCCGGTCACTCGGTGCTGTATGGCAAGGCATGCCATCACAATAGCCTGCGCTCAGAAGTAAAATGTTAACCAAACCATGTAAATTATACACTCACTTTAACGGAGCATCATTCCATCCGCACGTACATAATCGTCACTGGTTACACTGAATAATGTCAGTGAAGCAAGATGATTTATTTTGGAACGTTGCAATCTGCTCACAATTCTACTGTACTAAGACATCATTAAGAGCACACGAATAAATACGGAAAGACATATGCATAAGGAAAACGTATATACAATAACCTGGATATGTAACTCAATGACACTTTAGTTTACGTGTGAAACACGTGTGCTGATGGCTTACACTCTCATGCTAAGACTAGTTATAACCTTATATGTGTAATGGAACTATAACACTATGCCTACAACACACTGATACGAAATATTTAATAAATTGTACAGCTACATTCTTAACCTAACGCAAGTTTCACAGCCGCTTGCGTTCAGCATTTGCACCTCCGATTAGCACGCTTTGGCTACTACGCGCAGTGCGAAAGAATTTCTACGTACGTTAATTTATCCTCGTGAAATTTCACCATGCACAGCAAATCTTACTCGTGTTTATACTCACACACTCCTTTCCTTGCATTCTTCTGACTTATCAGATGAAACACATTCCTCCTGCGGAGGGAGCTGGTAGGAACGTTGGGTTGCTCGGTCAATGGCCAGGGTCAACGGCGGCGTGGTGTATTCCGCAAATATGCCCGACTGTGAGGCAGAGGTCGCAAACGGGTTTTGATTCCTTACCCGTACCCGGCCGCACCAGGGTCGCAAATGGGTACCCGTATCCGGCTGGGTACGAGTACCCGTTCCCTACCCGTACCCTAACCGAAATGAGTGACAAACGGTTACTCACCAGTGACTCACGGCCTACCCGTACCCGGCCGCACCAGGGTCGCAAACGGGTACCCGTACCCGGTCGGGTACGGGTAGCCTGGTATCGGGTAGGGTAACGGGTATCGGGTACCCAGTTGCGACCTCTGCTGTGAGGGCAGGCACAAGCCGGCGTGAGGAGGTTAAACGTTGAGTTTTATAAGGGCACCACGGGGTGACCAGCCCCTCCCCACCCAGCCCCACCCCTCCTACCCCCACCCAGCTCCACCCCTCCCACCCAAGCACATTCCCCACCCAGCCCATACCCACCCTTCCCTCTCCACCCAGCCCAACCCCTCCCATTTTTGGATGCACGACGGACGGACGGACACAATAATCCCCTGTGGGCTGGTGTAACCAGGAGGTTCCTACCAGTACATATTCCGATTGATATAATTTGGCAGCAGTCGTGCGTGGCAAAAGCTCGAGTGAGAGAGAGAGTAAATGCTCAACACGCAGCCCAACCTGGCATACTACACTTGGATCTATGCTCGACCTGATATTTGCTTGATACGAATCACTGTGCGTCGATAAGATTGTACATAGTACACGCGGAAAAGTGCGTTGTCTGCAAGCGCCGATCTAGCGGCGGGATTCGCGAAACGATGCCTTCCCTAGGTAACAATTCTCATGCGTTTGTTTGGCTTGTGACGTCGTGCACCTGTCCAGATGCATTGGATCCACTTGGACAGGTATGAATTACATATCATTCATATGCAAATCTGATTAAGAAATTGCGAAATAATTGCTACCGCAATGTAACGATTGGATGCAATATTCATTGTGAGTTTGTTTTTTTACCTTCTGCTATGAATGTAAATATAAGTGGAACACATACACTATTGTAACTCAATGCAGTACTTAACCACAAAAAGCAATTTGATTTACGTAGAGTGTTTTCACAAAAATTAGCTCAGTGTATACTACACCATTGTAAAATATGTATTATTATTGAGATGCACATAAAATATAATGTACGTTCTTATAATATAACACGTCTTTTTTAGCAATACGACACCTGCGAACGAACCACTTTGCAAGAATAATGAGAAGAATGGATGATACTGGTCTGGTCATTGCTACTTTACAACCGACGATAATTCCCTTTTTACAAATCATCGTGTGATTCACGATGATTTTAGCCTCTACAAATTGAGCTAAATATAAACGCCGAGCTCCATTGTACATATTACCTTGACTTGGGTTCTCGTGAGAATGGCATGTTGTATAAAAACGCCCACAAATATATAGAGAGTGGAGCTTGTCAGGATTGCTCCAAGTGCTCTCGATGTAACAACACGCGTGTAATGATTCATCGGTGAATATTGATCGCTGTAGATTGCGCTACACGTCACGGACACACGTGTGTGAAGAATGCACACGTTTTGAGTTTGCGTATGTTGTACGTAACGGATTGGCCTGACTGCTCTCGCCACTGGAAGCCACTACATTCACCGCAGTGTAAGCACATGAAATAATGTATTATTGAATTGGGATGCGGAGTGGGGGGGGGGTGGCTAATTGTAATACTTCTTATATTCATCCGAGTTTAAAATATTTGGTGACGGAAATAGATGGGCAGCTCGGACATCAGAGCTCAGAGATCCTGGTTTAAACATTTATGTTTTAGAGCAGTGGGTCTTTAACCTTCACTGCAGCATGCACCTCTTTGGTTCTGAATCTTAAAAAAAAATGTATGTTGATAAATACAAAGCAAAACGCTTTGAACAAAAAAATCTGACCATGTCCGGCAAACCCCCAGAAAGGGCATCTTGCACCCCCAGAAGTTCGTGCCCCCGAGGTTAAGAAGAACCACTGCCCCAGAGTCACCTACGATTTAGCCGGACTCTCACGTGTAACGAGTTAATGGTCTCATCCTGTTCACGAATGACTGCACACAAGATAAACAAAAACACCCCAGGTCAAAGCGTTTTGTTTTTCATTAATGTTGGCTATAGTCTAGATTTGAAGCTTTCGTGACTGCAAGGATTCATATTCTTAGTTTTTTTCGGTAAAGTCACGTAGGTAAAACATAAAAATTAATAAAAGTAAAATAAAAATCACGACGTTTCGGAGGCAACACAAGCTTCCGTCTTCAGGTGAAACCGTCACAGCCACGACAGCTGTATCAAGTAAATGAGAGATTGCAGGAGCTACCACTCCGTTTATATAATGGTTGGAGAAGGTGGTGGGGCAAGGGCCGCATACTTATTATTATTATTACTATTATTAATATATATATTAATATAGTCTCAAGCCTCACCTTACCATATTAATAATAAGTATGCGGCCCTTGCCTCACCACCTTCTCCAACCATTATATAAACGCAGTGGTAGCTCCTGCAATCTCTCATTTACTTGATACAGCTGTCGTGGCTGTGACGGTTTCACCTGAAGACGGAAGCTTGTGTTGCCTCCGAAACGTCGTGATTTTTTTATTTAACTTTTATTAATTTTAATGTTTTACCTACGTGACTTTACCGAAAAAACCTAAGAATATGTTGGCTATATTCCCACTGTTGAAAATGACAAACATCATGTTTGACTGTCACGTGACAAATGTTTCTCTTTTACAGGGTGGATGAAAAAAGTGTTTCCCCTAATGCAGATAAGAGGTTTTTTTGCTTTAATGGAATTCAAAAGTAGTTCCAGGGACTATTTTTCCTGTCTCCCCTAACACAGGTGGCTTTGCACTGCCCTGCAAGAGTTCCGAATGGATTATTCGCCTTGAGACGTAATGCTGATACACACAATGGGAATGACATTGTGTAGAATTTTGTTGATATATATATTGTGGTCGTAATATAGTGGCTTTGCGGCAATAAAGGTAATGACATCAAAGCACTATTTAGAAGAAAATTGTCTTTGAATTGTGGCAGACGCAGAATTTGTATACGTGGCTTCATTCTTACACCTATGGTATTCATATTTTCTCGAGCCTCTTATTTGGCTGTGATTAATTGTGCAAAGGTTTAGAATCGGACTTTAATACGACTGCGTACATGAGCAGCGTGTAGAATCTAGTCGGGTTGAAACGGTGTGGGAAGAATGGACTCAAATAGCCGAGTGTGTTGTATTTATCGAGAACGAAATTTTGCAAGAGATTCAGGGATAACTGTTGTGCTTGAATCACGCTATTCTCCCGCGAGCAGGAGACGATACCGACCGTATTGACAATATTGATGCTAGCAAGCGTATCACCAAGGCCAACAGAAATGCGCTGCGATATTCAATTACCCTCGGATTGTTTTGCACGTGCATATTAGTATGCCGAACAATTGTCAAGTCTATACTCTTAGTTCTTTCGGTAAAGTCACGTAGGTAAAAAATAAAATCAAAATTAATAAAAAAACAAAAACAAAATCACGACGTTTCGGAGACAACACAAGCTTCCGTCTTCAGGTGAAACTGTCACAGCAAAATATCAGTATCATGTGAAGAGAAGTCCAAAGAGGTACGGACCTTATATATTTGTATTTTTATTAATTTTGATTTCATTTTTTACCTACGTGACTTTACCGAAAAAACTAAGAGTATGAATCCTTGCAGTCACGAAAGCTTCAAATCTAGAATTAATTGTCAAGTCTCTCCATCTGATGTGCACGTTCCTACTTTGTCAACGCAACTTAATGTTTTTGTTTGTTTAACATAGAACGATGAGAGCCCATTCAATTGAGATGCACCATCTCTTTTGCAAGGCACGCTCAGGTGAATAGACTAAACTCGACAGGAATTATTACTATTATTTAGTCGTAATATATTTGCTGGAAATGTTGCCAGCGCTTGTCCTCTTATCAAAGTTTATCGATCTATTGCATCCGCTTTATATAGAACACACTGTGCACTCTCACAGCACCCTATAGCAGCATGACCGGGCCAGCCGTAGATGCCCAATCGTTCCTCCGCGCAAAGGAGCTCAGCAACCTGTCATTCTTATCACGTTGTTCTTCGTCCACTCACGTGTTCAAACCGAACTTTCAAAATAGCGACGTCTTCGCGGCAGGCGTGGAGAAACACTGGTAGATTCATAAGGAAATGCGCTTATATTCTTGGTTCTTTCGGTAAAGTCACGTAGAAGGGAAATAATAAAATAATAAAAATGAAACATAATAATGAGCCGTTAGGACGCTGTCTTTCCGACAGCCCTGTTCTTCACCTGAGGACGGCTGCTTGCGTTGTGGCCGAAACGTCGTGAGAATTTTATCTGATTATGTTTTATTTTCATTATTTTATTATTTCCCTTCTACGTGACTTTACCGAAAGAACCAATAATATGAATCCCTGTAGTCACGAAAGCTTTAAATCGAAAAGAAATGCGCTTATTTGTAGCTGCAGCCGAAAGTGTGAGTGCAGTGGTCACATTCAAAACGATCTTGTTGGTTCTTTCGGTAAAGTCACGTAGAAGGGAAGTAATAAAATAATAAAAATAAAACACAATAAATTTTTTATTATTATTGTATTACTTCCCTTCTACGTGACTTTACCGAAAGAACCAAGAAGATGAATCTCTGCAGTCACGAAAGCTTTAAATCGAAATTCAAAACGATTTTTGAACCACTGCTTGGTGATCGATTTGGGACAGGTATACACGTGGTTTAGTAACGACATGTGCACTTGTTTACAGGAATTTACAATCTGTCTTTGGAATTGTATTAAGCTTCATGATAGCACATGTGTTGGTTTAAGACTATAAATATTTTATCAGTGGCACTGTCCTCCCAGTGGTCATACTTAGCAATATGCAACTATAATGCAAAATTATGCTAACAACTTTTTCAAGTGGAATTGATTTTTTGTAAAATAATTACCCACATACAGTAAAATACGTTTCTGTGTGTGTGTGTGTGTATATATACACTTGTATGTGAGCATTGTGACGTTTGCTTTCGAGATGTGTGTGTTATTTTGAAGGGACTGGCTGTAAGAAAATAATCACTTAAGGATGGTGGCAATCAGTGTATGCTTTAAAAATGTAAAAAAAAAACTGCATGAAATATGTTTATATATAGCTTGACTTTCGATGTATATTTTGCATCTACAATAAATGAAAACCACAATTGTATGGTTTATTTGCTATGTTTATCTTGCAACGATGCCATAATCATGCCGTGTTTATTTAACAGTCACATTCACCTACGAATAGACATTGGTCGTCACCCGGAATTTGACTATTCATGAATTCACTTTTAGTTATCTAATGTCAGTAATGTGTAGAATTAAAAGAATAATCTACGTCAGGGACAATATTTAGACACGCTTCGGAGACTCTGAGAAGATTCTAGATTTGAAGCTTTCGTGACTGCAAGGATGCATACTCTTAGTTCCTTCGGTAAAGTCACCACGTAAGTAAAAAATGAAATTAAAATTAATAAAAAATAAAATACAAATCACGACGTTTCGGAGGCAACACAAGTCTCCGTCATCAGGTGGGACCGTCACAGCCAGATTTACTGCATCAAGTGAGGCAGGGATTCAAGATGCAAGAAGTAAAATCAGTTTAGAGTTTGGTGAGGACACAGCAGCAGATGTATACTCTGAGAAGTATACTCTGAGAAGAGTTATGATCATCAGCCAGCCATGATCAATCCACTGCTGGACGAAGGCTGCTCTGCCTAGGCGTTACCAATCTATTCTAGATCGGATCATTCGTACTAGCCTGGCAACAGGCGAGACAAACCTCGCTTCATCTTCTTGGTTTTTTCGGTAAAGTCACGTAGAAGGGAAATAATAAAATAATAAAAATAAAACATAATAAAATAATTGTCACGACGTTTCGGCCACAACGCAAGCAGCCGTCTTCAGGTGAAGAACAGGTCTGTCGGAAAGACAGCGTCTGAATGAAACACCACCAGGCTTGGAGCGTATATTTAAGCTGGGTTGGAGGGAGAAGAGCGCCTTGACAAAATAATGTGCACATCAAGAGGAATTTAGCATATTTATGGAAAATGCAGATATGGGATTAGTCATTACTTGTGGAATGCGTAGGAGGTGGGCGGGGGGTTTTCAAAGTCAGAGAATTATTTTATGATGTTAAATTTTTATTATTTTATTATTTCCCTTCTACGTGACTTTACCGAAATAACCAAGAAGAGGAATCCCTGCAGTCACGAAAGCTTTCAATCGAAAATTAAACCTTGCTTCATTCACCTATCCGCACTGCCTCGCATGGTGAAGTATGAACAAGTTCTTTACCCCCCCCCCCCATCATGACTGACGCACCAGAGATGAGCACATTGTTTTTAAAAAACGGCACAATGTTGTACACACAACAAATAAATTCAACAGATTCGTTAATGACACTTCATTAACAGGTTAGAGGGTCCAAGAAGCGACGTTTCGGACAATGGCCCTTTATAGAACGTGCACATAGGCCAGAGGAGAGAATTAACATCAACAAAAAATCATGCCCGTATTTTTGGACGCCAATTAAGATATTTTAAATAAATGTAGAACTTGCATTCTTAACATCTGAAAGGGATTATTGAAATAGCATATACATTGGCATGCAGGTATTTTATTTGTGTGTTCACATATCAACTCTACTACAGGCATATCGTTTGAATGAGAGAACTTAATGAATGATATGCACAACGATACAGTATGAAAATGTTGTTATGTATCGGGATATCCTGTTGGGCGGTGCAGAGGTTCGTGTGCTTGTCTCGCAAGCGTAAGGTGGTACGTTTAAACATTGATGCCTGATTGACTCAGCCCTGCATTGCTAAGTGGTCAATAACATCGATACTAATTTGTGAAACCTTAGTGTCACTTGTCCTATATATTAAAACCGCTACCGTCATAGGAATATGGAAGTTACAAAGGCTGTAATTAAGCTAAATATACTTTATTATTTTTAAATTTGATGGTATTAATTGAAAATGTTTGCAATCACCAGGCAATAAATGTCCAGCTCCTTGTCAACGCACTGCTTGTTGATGGACTCCCCGTTCATTGTCAGTCATGAAGGGCTGTTTGACCATACTTCACCACGCCGGTCAGCGTGGGTTATTGGGGAGTCCAGGATCAGTCTATCTTATAACTCACTACCAGTGGTCATCCTCACGAACAAAGACGGCGAATGCTTCACGCGCTTTCAAATGCGCTTCTGCGTCCGTCCGGAACGCTTTTTCTTCCGATATTAGGAAGCCATTGGGAGCTATGCCACTTTTAAATCTAGGTTGAAAACTCATTTCTTTAGAACTCTAAATTGTGTTTTGGTTTGTTGTCCTTCCCCCGCACCTCCGATTAGTACGGTTGGCCACGTCCCTAAGTGCGAAAAAAGTTCAACATCCATGCAATGGGACCATGAGTCAAACTCGGGTGGCTGGATTCGTAGTGCAGCGTGCGAAAACACTGCACCGATCTCCCCACCCATCACTTAGGCTTTAACCTATACAGCATGGTTCGATTTGCTGAGAGCGGTACCTATGGAAGTGCACTTAGCCGCGCAAAACGCGTAGGTCCTTTAGATATGCGAATGTACGTTTGTGCTATACACCCACCGCATGCATTAATCTACCCAGCCCCCTTCACACACACACATCTTATAAGGCCTCCCTCCGTTGCTGCCTGTATCGTCACTTCTCCAGAATCCTGACCGCAGTCCACACGTGTCTCGAACTGCTGAGATTCTGAATTGAAGCTCTTTGTTGTGCAGCGACTTCGCAAAAGGTAACATGTTATTCCGTTCTCGTTTGCATCGTATATCACAACGGTGAAATGTGTTGTAAGTTTTTGTTGGTTCGGGTCACTGACTTTTCGTTTTTATGTGATTGTAAAAACAAAAATGCTCGTACAATGTTGAAAGCAAGTGTAGTTTTAATGTATATCTGTTGTCAGGCGTATGCATTCTATAGTTGTGGCCACATTTACTTGATTAAATTGCACATATAACTGCAAAACACATCTTATAGTTAACAGGAACAATAATGCTCCAAGCACATTCATATGAAAAGTTCGTCTTTCAATTTTTATCTCTACAAACATTATTGCGTACATTTCAAATATTGCTGATTTTATTCATTGAATTGTAACTTCACGTACATCAGTATATAAAATACAATTTAAACATTTACATTGGTCTCACACACTTGAAAATCTGTGCAAATCTCAAGTAATCAACAACGTTATCATGATATTCACATGTTCATAAAACTGAACAATTTGGAACTGTTGCTTGCAAAAAAAGGCGAATGCACATGAACTGGTGTGCAAAGAAGACCCGTCAAGTTAAATTACGATGATCACTTCACCAATATACACAATTCATTCACTAATTCTAGGCAGTGGTGATTCTGCCCCACGACCAGCCCGAAACAGGATCAATTTCTAGGAGGTCCCCTTTCGCTGTATCAACTTCCAGTGAGACGACAGAAAACACGTTGACAGGGGTAGAGATGCAGTGAGATAGAAAAAGAGAAATACGGACCAGACGGAGACCTATTGAAGTGAAACACATGCAGATAGGAGACAAATATGCAGTCAGATGTGAAGAGGGATGTAGGGTTCAATTTCGATTTTTTAAAATATTATTTTAATTTTAATTTATTTTAATTAGATTTTTATTTTATTTTTAATTTATTGTTATTTGCAAATGATTTTTTATTATATTTTTTATTTTATTTTAATTTAATTATGTTTTATTTTTATTATTTTATTATTTCCCTTCTACGTGACTTTACCGAAAGAACCAAGCAGATGTAGGGTTCACCCACATTTATTTCTCTCTCTCACAAATCCAGGAACCCCTTGACGGTGTTTTGGTGCCCAGAGCGCGTTGCTTAGCTTATGCCTAGCGCCACGCCTGGGGGCGCGAGACACAAGCTAGGCAGTTGTTGGTGCCTCGCGTCGTGTTACAAACGATTCTGAGCGTTCTGTTCAAGCAGCGATAATGCGCAGGTTTTAGCACCAACAGTTCGCTCGCGTTTGGGTTCTTGGCAAATGCTGCCGGAGCGGAGCTGTGAAAGGGGGGGGGGGGGAGGCAGAGGTAGCAAACGGGTTTTGATTCATACTCTTAGTTCTTTCGGTAAAGTCACGTAGGTAAAAAATGAAATTAAAATTAATAAAAATAAAACAATAAATTCACGACGTTTTGATTCCTTACCCGTACCCGTACCCGGCCGCACCAGGGTCGCAAATGGGTACCCGGCCGGGTACGGGTACCCGTTCCCTACCCGAAATGAGTGACAAACGGCTACTCACCGGTGACTCACGGCCTACCCGTACCCGTACCCGGCCGCACCAGGGTCACAAACGGCTACCCGTACCCGGCCGAGTACGGGTAGCCGGGTATCGGGTAGGGTACGGGTATCGGGTACCCGGTTGCGACCTCTGGGGGAGGGGGGGGTGTGATGTAACCCGCGTGATGCGTGGTGTCCTCCAGATTCACGTCGAGATGCACACGCGGGTCTTTCTGCTGCTCGCCTGTGTGCTGGGCTCAGCGGTGGGTGCTTCCATCATTGGCAAGGTGAGGTTATCCATGAATTTTACAACAAAAAAATATATATAAACATAAAAAATATATTTTGACTTAAAACTTTCGTGACTGCAGGAATTCATATTCTTTGTTTATTTCGGTAAAGTCACGTATATAGAACAATAAAAATAAAATAAAAGCTAAATTTGTTTTATTTTCTATCTCCGTGACTTTACCGAAAGAACCAAAGAATATTAAAAAATAAAATATTCACGTAAAAATCCCATCTCAATAAGGGGTGGTTTGTTGCAGCAGATAATTCGTTTTTTTCTCTCGCGCAATAATTGCTGTGTCCCCAATGGGGGGAGGGGGGGGGGGAACCCCCAACGCATTCAAATGTTCAAGCAAAGTGGTGCAAGGCCAAGTTTCAGTGGACGTTTGAAATGGGATGCAAACATGACTCCTTGTAAAAAAAAGGTGTCAGTTTTGTTGCCAGATAGAAGGGTAAAAACCCAATTATCATTCACCAATATATTGAGCTTTTGTAGACGCTGTTGCAGAGACTTCAAATTCGTTTTCTATCGTAACATTCGCCATTCATACTGATCAATGGACCGTGCGTGTGCTTCCTCGTGCCATTGCTGCAGCTCTGCGCGCCAGGCATCCAAAACGAATGCATATCCAGCCACAGAAGCAGCAGCAGCGTCGGCGACGGCGGCGACGACGACACGTCTCAGGCCAAGCTGCTGCAGGACTACATCTCGCGTTATTTACGTCGAATGCAGCAACTCATGAGCCCGGAGGGGAACTTCGCGGCGACCGCGAGGAACGCGTGGGCCGAGGAAGACAACGCGCAGACGTCGAGCGCCGAGAGCAGAGACCCCGAGGGAGCCTACGATGGGAAGAGGTCCTATTCCGTGGAGCACTTCCGTTGGGGGAAGCCTGCGGGGAGAAAACGACGGCCGGTCAAAGTGTGGCTCGGAGAAGGCCGGACCCTCGGGGAGGAAGAGGAGGAGGAAGATGATTTTCTGGAGAGACGGAGGAGATGAGCAATGAGGTGGAGGCAGTGTCGGATTGAGATAGTGCGGGGGCTGTAGCATACGTTATAAAGGGGGCCCTAAATAAATAAATATTAAAACACACATTTTTAACGTGAATAGGAAAGTAATTGCATTTTTTTCATTTGCTATACAACCAGATAATACGACACATCGCTAACCTTAAACACGCAGTCGTTCATAAAAGTTGAAGGCGGTGTAGTACTATAGTAATAGAGCAAGTGCAGCATCACTGAACCGTTTAGCGCGGGGCCCTAGAAAGTGCGAGGCCCGTAGCCACTACACATGTAGTAGCTACTACACATGTAGTTGCTACATATGTAGCTACTACACATGTAGTTACTACATATGTAGCTACTACACATGTAGCTACTACACATGTAGCTACTACACATGTAGCTACTACACATGTAGCTACTACACATGTAGTTACTACACAAGTAGCTACTACACATTTAGTAGCTACTTGTGCTACTAGGAAAATCCGGCACTGGGCGGAGGTTTTGAAGTCGATTGCGCGAACGGCTAACCATGAGGACACGACAGCTTCCCTAGTGTATTAGGGGTCGTCCATAAATGACGTCACGCAATTTTGGACATTTTTGACCCCCCCCCTCGTCACACGGCGTCACAAAAAGTCAAACCCCCCCTCAAATATGACGTCACAAAGCTCTGCCCCCCCCCCAAAACCATATTTCCATTTTGAAAACAAAACATGCTTCAAATCGCTTTAAACTATTATCATTGTAGTGCGTATTTAATGTGGCGCTGCACTCTGATGTTGTAGGAGAAAACATTTATAAAAAAAAGTTTATTTAATTAAGTAGAACGCGTTGTCTATATTTATTTAAAGTTGCACATTTTGATGTGACGTCACATTTCTCAAACCCTCCCCCCCTCGTCACACATCGTCACAAATGTCTGACCCCCCCCCGAGGTGCGTGACGTCATTTATGGACGGCCCCTTATGAGTGGAAGAGTCACGGGGAATTTGAATTGTTCCAAAGAGGCTGTGGCTGCGTTGACATAAACAGTAGCACGTGTGCGTAGATCAAATTGTAAACACATTCACACACGCAGCATAATTACTAAAAAACAACCAAAGAAGAATACAGAGGCAAATTAACATAATATCTGCAGTAATAATAATAGCATGTGTTAGCGTATGCTACCGTTTGATTTTTGTGCTCGATGTTGTTGACACTGTATATGTATGATGTCGCGTATGCACAATAAATAATGAAAAACACGTGATTGTTTTATACATAACGTGTAAATGACATACAAATGGCGTATCTGTCAATTCATTTCATTACGGTGTGATTCCATGTGAATGTGTTTGCGAAAAAAAGTGTTTTTTACTCTTTGGTTCTTTCGGTAAAGTCACGTAGGTGAAAATAATATTAAAATAAAATAAAAAGTGAAAACAACTAAATTTAGTTGTGACTTTACCAAAAGAACCAAAGAGTATGGATCCTTGCAGTCACGAAAACTTCTAATCTAAAAGTGTTTTAGTTTAAATATCTTGAGCGAATGAGATAATGAGTAACGCGGCGTTTCATACTTCCCTGAACATTGTTTTGTAATGGTTCTTATGGTCCACAGAATTCAATGTCTTCTGCTCTCTTCCCTTAAATCATGCTCACTACTCTGTCCTATCTGTAGAGGGCAGCCCTTCACCACTCAAACGCGCGCATGCCATCGTGAATAGTAATGTTCACCATACAATCGTTGAATAGGAATACATTTATACTGGTAGGAACCACCTGGTTCCACCAGCCCACAGGGGATTATTGTGTCCGTCCGTTCGTCGTGCATCCAAAAATGGGAGGGGTGGGGCTGGGTGGAGAGGGGAGGGGCTGGGTGGGGAGGGTGGGGAGGGGCTGGGTGGGGAGGGTGGGGCTGGGTGGGGGGTGGCTGGTCAACCCGTGGTGCCCTTATAAAACTCAACGTTTAACCTACTCACGCCGGCTTGTGCCCGCCCTCACAGTCGGGCATCTTTGCGGAATACACCACGCCGCCGTTGACCCTGGTCATTGACCGAGCAACCCAACGTTCCTACCAGCTCCCTCCGCAGGAATGTGTTACGGCCAGCATATGTTCAGGAGCCGAGTGAGCTTATGATTTTACAAAGTGAGCATATGCAAGCCGACACCATTTGGTCATTTCTTTTTTAAAAAGAGCATACAAATGTAATTCTATGCCTATGCCATGTACATGCTACTTTTTTTGTCAGCTCTGTGAATTGACCGACGGTACAATGACACAACACAATTGGGATTGATGCAACCATTCAAAGCCCGACCCGTTTTCTCAAAGCTCTGTAAAGAAACATTCGGCATTTTTGTTATATATATAGAGAAGAGGCAGTCGGTCATAGGCAGAGTACAACATTGTTTCTTTGGAGCCAGGAATTAAACCGGCGCCGGGGAAACAGCAGCACAGGTGGCTGGGGGAAGAAACAGCCGTACTATGGCATCTGCAGCAGAGAACAATTAAGTGACCTTGCACTGAGATAATTGTTGACCAGAGGCTTCGATGGCAGGCCTTGATTACTGCTGAAGTGCAGAGTGCGTGGAGGCGACTCCAGTGTCGTAAGCGGGGTAGAGGTGGGCATTGGCGATACCGTGAGAGCATCTTGAAATGAGTGCAATTCTGAATTTGATCCGAGACTGGATTTGAGGGCCAGTGGAGGGTATTTGGGCTGATGTTGCACAGATGGAGGAGGTATGAGGTCCAGCAGAGTTGACATTTTGTGGGAAGAGAATGCGAGCTTTGGGATCAATGGCAACTGCAAGGTTTCACACTCTTTGCAAGGGCATTGTCAGACTTTTGGAGGTACAACACTCAAACTTAATTTCTCTATTGGGAAAGGACTGTTTTTTTGCCAATAACGATAGATTCGGTTTTGGCAACGATCAGCTCGAAGAAGTTAGATCCAATGCAAGATGAGACCACGTCGAGGTAAGACAAGAGAAACGGAAGCATGAGTTTCATGGTGAGGTGGGTGTCGTCAGCATAGACACGCTGGTCGACATTCAAATTGGAGACGATATTTCCAAGAGGCAGGATATTTATTGAGAAATAAATGGGGACCAGGGAAAGAGCCTTGCTGGGCACCATTAAAGAGGTGAGATGAAGCGCCGCAGAAAGGCTCAGATTTGTAGACGCCGCAGGGAATGCAGTGGTCTGAAAAACAGCAGAAAGGTCTGCCACTACTAGCTTAGTCTGAAGAGAGAGAGAGTTATTTATCACATTTTGGAGAGCAGTTTCAGTAGAATGGCCTTGGCAGAAGCCAGACTGTACTGGTCCATAGATGCCATAGAAGGAGAGGTGTTTGGGAAGATCGGAGAAGATAGGATTGGAGTTTACAGGGATGTCAGGGTCCGGTGTAGGCTCTTTAAATCCTTTATATTAAGTTCACTTGCTTGCTTGCGCGCTTACGACCGTGCAAATCTTTCGGTCGTTTTTTAACCCACTTCCCGTGATCCAATCGAGCTGACATTTTGCACACAGACTCGTTGTGCGTGACAATTTATTTTCGTGAATTTTTTTTCCCAAAATTTCACACTTTTTAGGGAAAAAAAAAATTCATATTTAATTTAAAATACCAATGTGATAAAAATGAAACTCTTACTCAAGAAAAACCGAAATGAATAATAAAATAAAACCGATGCCACGCATATAAAGGATTTATAGTGAAAAAGTTTGTTTTTACGGGTTAAATTTTTTTTCAGGATTGGGTGTGGCCGTCGCAGCAGTCCAGACAGCGAAGGGAATGGTGTTGGATGAGATGGAGGCATTGACACAGCTGGTAATTTTCGATTTAAAGCTTTCGTGACTGCAGGGATTCATCTTCTTGGTTCTTTCGGTAAAGTCACGTAGAAGGGAAGTAATAAAATAATAAAAATAAAACATAATTAAATTTCGATTTAAAGATTTCGTGACTGCAGGGATTCATCTTCTTGGTTCTTTCGGTAAAGTCACGTAGAAGGGAAGTAATAAAATAATAAAAATAAAACATAATTAAATTTCGATTTAAAGCTTTCGTGACTGCAGGGATTCATCTTCTTGGTTCTTTCAGTATAGTCACGTAGAAGGGAAGTAATAAAATAATAAAAATAAAACATAATTAAATTTCGATTTAAAGATTTCGTGACTGCAGGGATTCATCTTCTTGGTTCTTTCGGTAAAGTCACGTAGAAGGGAAGTAATAAAATAATAAAAATAAAACATAATTAAATTTCGATTTAAAGCTTTCGTGACTGCAGGGATTCATCTTCTTGGTTCTTTCGGTAAAGTCACGTAGAAGGGAAGTAATAAAATAATAAAAATAAAACATAATTAAATTTCGATTTAAAGATTTCGTGACTGCAGGGATTCATCTTCTTGGTTCTTTCGGTAAAGTCACGTAGAAGGGAAGTAATAAAATAATAAAAATAAAACATAATTAAATTTCGATTTAAAGATTTCGTGACTGCAGGGATTCATCTTCTTGGTTCTTTCGGTAAAGTCACGTAGAAGGGAAGTAATAAAATAATAAAAATAAAACATAATTAAATTTCGATTTAAAGCTTTCGTGACTGCAGGGATTCATCTTCTTGGTTCTTTCGGTAAAGTCACGTAGAAGGGAAGTAATAAAATAATAAAAATAAAACATAATTAAATTTCGATTTAAAGATTTCGTGACTGCAGGGATTCATCTTCTTGGTTCTTTCAGTAAAGTCACGTAGAAGGGAAGTAATAAAATAATAAAAATAAATCATAATAAAATTATTCTCACGACGTTTCGGCCACAACGCAAGTAGCCGTCATCAGGTGAAAACCTGGTTTTGAAGCTCATTCAGACGCTGTCGCCTCGACAGACCTGGTTTTCACCTGAGGACGGCTACTTGCGTTGTGGCCGAAACGTCGTGACAATAATTTTATTATGTTTTATTTTTATTATTTTATTACTTCCCTTCGACGTGAGTTTACCGAAAGAACCAAGAAGACAGCTGGTAATGTACGGGAACAAGGATAGGTAGGCAGCTAGGAATGCATTTGGTGAGCAGAGATTTGAGGTTTAAAGAAAACGTGTATAGGTTGGAGATGATTTTAGTGATGTTATTTATGGTGACAGGCTGAGTGGGGAGATATGAGGACAGGCGACAGTGTTAAGAGAGTCAGATGCCAGAATGCCATTCCAGATTTTCTCAACCTTTTCAGATAAATAGGAGGTGTTTTTTTTCTTGGTTCTTTCGGTAAAGTCACGTAGAAGGGAAATAATAAAATAATAAAAATAAAACATAATAAAATAATATAATAAAATAAAATAATATATAATATAGAGGAGGTGTTTTATCTTGACATATTATTATTTGAGTCTTTCGGTAAAGACACGTAGATTTCACACCTGATGATGATTGCTTGTGTTGCAGTCGAAACGTCGTGAGAATTTTTATTGTTTTATATTTATATTATTTTATTATTTCCCTTCTACGTGACTTTACCGAAAGAACCAAGAATATGAATCACTGCAGTCACGAAAGCTTTAAATCAAAATTTGCACGTAGATAGGTTC